TCCATGACAGCACCTCCAGCTTCACCATTACTGTCTCCCAGGACAGCACCTCCAGCTTTACCATTACTGTCTCCCAGAACGCACCTCCAGCTTCACCATTACTGTCTCCCAGGACAGCACTATCAGCCCCACATTTACTGACTACCAGGACATCACCTCCAGCCTTACAGTTTCTGACTACATGGCCAGTTATCAAGGGCAGTTTCCATTCAGCCCAGACTTTTTATGTTCCCATCTGTTTGTAGAAAGCTTCCAGGTTTTCTATAAAGCAGCTTTGATGTTATCCTCTTTTAATACCCCTTTTGATTTTTTGTCCCCAGATTTATCTCATTTGGGCTACCCAAAAACACTCCTGTTTAAATACTCCATGTGGAAGCCCCGTTTGTTTGATTGACTGCAGACTACACAGAGCTTCATAATGATTTGAATGGTTGATTTACTGTTAATTCTACTAGCAACCTCTTGAATACTCTATTAAAACCCTTTAAAAGAAGTCTAGCTATTTGATTTCTGTTTCTAACTGTACTTGTATATTGACAGCTTAAACCCTGTATTTGCTATATATATAATATCATTCTATTTTATTATTATATATATATATATATATATATATATATAATATTATATATATTATATATATATATTATATATATATATATATATATATATTATTTATATATATATATATCTATATATTTATATAAATTTTATATATATATATATATATATATATAATATATATTTTATATTATATATATATTTTGTGTGTGTGTGGTGTGTGTGTTGTGTGTGTGTGTGTGTGTGTTGTGTGTGTGTGTGTGTGTTGTGTGTGTTGTGTGTGGTGTGTGTGGTGTTGTGTGTGTGTGTGTGTGTATGTGTGTATGTTTTGATTGTGTGTTTTGTGTGTGTGTGTTTGGTGTGTGTGTTGTGGTGTGTTGTGTGTGTACTCACCTAGTTGTACTCACCTAGTTGAGGTTGCGGGGGTCGAGTCCCAGCCCCCTGGCCCCGCCTCTTCACTGATCGCTACTAGGTCACTCTACCTGAGCCGTGAGCTTTATCATACCTCTGCTTAAAGCTATGTATGGATCCTGCCTCCACTACATCACTTCCCAAACTATTCCACTTACTGACTACTCTGTGGCTGAAGAAATACTTCCTAACATCCCTGTGATTCATCTGTGTCTTCAGCTTCCAAACTGTGTCCCCTTGTTACTGTGTCCAATCTCTGGAACATTCCTGTCTTTGTCCACCTTGTCAATTCCTCTCAGTATTTTGTATGTCGTTATCATGTCCCCCCTATCTCTCCTGTCCTCCAGTGTCGTCAGGTTGATTTCCCTTAACCTCTCCTCGTAGGACATACCTCTTAGCTCTGGGACTAGTCTTGTTGCAAACCTTTGCACTTTCTCTAGTTTCTTTACGTGCTTGGCTAGGTGTGGGTTCCAAAACTGGTGCCGCATACTCCAATATGGGCCTAACGTACACGGTGTACAGCGTCCTGAATGATTCCTTATTAAGATGTCGGAATGCTGTTCTGAGGTTTGCTAGGCGCCCATATGGTGCAGCAGTTATTTGGTTGATGTGCGCTTCAGGAGATGTGCCTGGTGTTATACTCACCCCAAGATCTTTTTCCTTGAGTGAGGTTTGTAGTCTCTGGCCCCCTAGACTGTACTCCGTCTGCGGTCTTCTTTGCCCTTCCCCAATCTCATGACTTTGCACCTTGGGTGGATTGAACTCCAGGAGCCAATTGCTGGACCAGGTCTGCAGCCTGTCCAGATCCCTTTGTATTTCTGCCTGGTCTTCGATCGAGTGAATTCTTCTCATCAACTTCACGTCATCTGCAAACAGGGACCTCAGAGTCTATTTCTTCCGTCATGTCGTTCACAAATACCAGAAACAGCACTTGTCCTGGACTGACCCCTGTGGGACCCGCTGGTCACAGGTGCCCACTCTGACACCTCGCCACGTACCATGACTCGCTGCTGTCTTCCTGTCAAGTATTCCCTGATCCATTGTAGTGCTTCCCTGTTATCCTGCTTGGTCCTCCAGTTTTTGCACCATCTCTTGTGTGGAACTGTGTCAAACGCCTTCTTGCAGTTTAAGAAAATGCAATCCACCCACCCCTCTCTCTTTGTCTTAACTGCTGTCACCTGTCATAGAACTCCAGTAGGTTTGTGACACAGGATTTCCCGTCCTGAAACCATGTTGGCTGCTGTTGATGAGATCGTTCCTTTCTAGGTGTTCCACCACTCTTCTCCTGATAATCTTCTCCATGATTTTGGCATACTATACATGTCAGTGACACTGGTCTTTTAGTTTAATGCTTCATGTCTGTCTCCTTTTTTAAAGATTGGGATACATGTGCTGTCTTCCATCCCTCAGGCACTCTCCCTGTTTCGATAGATGTATTGATATTGTTGTTAGGGGTACACAATAGTGCCTCTGCTCCCCCTCTCAAAACCCATGGGGAGATGTTATCTGGCCCCATTTTCCTTTGAGGTATCTAGCTCACTCAGAAGCCTCTTCACTTCTTCCTCGGTTGTGTGCACTGTGTCCAGCACATGGTGGTGTGCCCCACCTCTCCGTCTTTCTGGAGCCCCTTCTGTCTCCTCTGTGAACACTTCTTTGAATCTCTTGTTGAGTTCCTCACAATACTTCACGGTCATTTCTTGTTGTCTCTCCTCCTTCCTTCCTTAGCCTGATTACCTGGTCCTTGACTGTTGTTTTCCTCCTGATGTGGCTGTACAACAGTTTCGGGTCAGATTTGGCTTTCGCTGCTATGTCATTTTTCATATTGTCTTTGGGCCTCCCTTCTTATCTGTGCATATTTGTTTCTGGCTCTACGACTGGTCTCCTTATTCTCCTGAGTCCTTTGCCTTCTATATTTCTTCTATATTTCTGTGTGTGGTGTGTGTGTGTGTGTGTGGTGTGTGTGTGTGTGTGTGTGTGTGTGTGGTGTGTGTGTGTGTGTGTGTGTGTGTGTGTGTGTGTGTGTGTGTTTGTGTGTAAAACAACCACTGTGAAAGAACAGTGAAATTTCAAGCGCTTACGTGACTTCTCCATTATCAAGGATAATGTGAGAAGTCACGAAAGCGCTTAGAAATTTCACTATTCTTTCACAGTGGTTGTTTTGCATATTCTGATATCACCTATTTACTTTGACCTTATTGGGTGGTAAGGGGAAGTGGAATATTCAAATGGCTTCAGGAAGAAATCCAAATATTCTTCCTTGAAGCCTTTTTTTTCCACTCTCTGAGGCTATGGGTCCCACAATTTACACCAGAGGTGGACCCAGTCCTATATAATATATATATTATATATATATATATATATATATATATATATATATATATAATATATATATATATATATATATAAAATATTTATTATATATATATAATATAATATATATAATATATATATATATATATTATGACAAGCACCTAAAGTCGGTACCTGCCCAGCCGGGCTGTGGCTCGTACGTTGGTTTGCGTGCAGCCAGCAGTAACAGCCTGGTTGATCAGGCTCTGATCCACCAGGAGGCCTGGTCACAGACCGGGCCGCGGGGGCGTTGACCCCCGGAACTCTCTCCAGGTAAACTCCAGGTTAATATATATATTTATATATATATATATATATATTATATATATATATATATATATATATATATATATATATAATATATATATATATATATATATATATATTATATATATTAATATATATATATATATATATATATGTTTGTGCCGAATAGACAGAACTTGCGATCTTGGCTTAAATAGCAACGCTCATCTTGCCATATAGGACAAGTGAAAATTAGTGTATGCAATAATTTCGCCAAAATCATTCTGAACCTAAAGAAAAAAATATATTTCACTGTGTTTGTTTAGTATTAAATTACTGTGAACAAATCTAAAATATATTTAGTTGGGTTAGGCTAAAATAAATTGTTCTTGTTATAATAAGGTTAGGTAAGTTTTCTAAGATTCTTTTGGTGCAAAATTAAAAATTTTATACATTTATGTTAATGAAAAAAATATATCTTTAAACGTATAAGAGAAAATTTCAGAAAGGACTTAATTTTAAATGAGTTCTTACTAATTGACCAGTTTTACATATTCGGCACGACATATATATATATTATATATATATATATATATATATATTATATATATATATATAATATATATATATATATATATATTATATATATATATATGTAATATATATATATATATATATATATATATATATATATATATATAATATATATATATATATATATATATATATATATATATATATATATATATATATATATATATATATATATATATATATACATATATTCACAATAAACATTGTAACTACAATATTTATCTCTCTTATCAATAATTATAGAGAGGGAGAGCCTAGGTAGTACACACCTTGCACTGATGTCTCCCTCCCTGTCTTCCTTCATGTCTTCATCCATGCCTATGTCACGTGATAATTGTCCTTGACCTACATGCACCACCAACTTACTAGCTGCTGGAGCTTCCATTATTCGTGGCAGTAATGGCAGCTTCTTGGACAAGGAAGGTGGTTGGACAGTGCCAGTGATAAAGACAGCTACGTATTCCTCAGATGCTGGTTAGTTTGCATAAACGTTATGGGTATCTAGCATGGCGCCTCCCTCCTGGTGCTGCCTGGTAACTCTCTTCACTCATCAGTCTTTTAATTCCCTTTAATGCGTTACAGTGGTAAATTTTTAGCGTCTCTTTTACGGCAAATTATTAGGCTGGTACTAATAGTTATGAGCTTTGGAATATGGAGCATCCATTCTCTAATTTATAGAGGAAAAAACACAGGGCGACGCAAGCACGGAATATTGTTTATCCCGGCGAGATGTACGTGCTTAGAAACAGGTAATGCAGCGCAGGTGAGTGTGAATTGAGCCTGGTGGTAGGGGATGCATTGTAGAATAGAAGAGGGGTGGAGGGAGTATCCCAGGGAAGGAACCAACAAGGTGGGGAGACCATCGATGAGGGAGAAGTAGTGGATTAGAGGACGTGGGGGAGTTGGGGAGCTGAACCTGGGTCTCGTGAGGGTATAGCAGCCACCACCCTCTCCATTGGACCACCGATAGCGACAGTGAACACCCGGCTTCCAAGTCTGTGCACACCAGCAAGTTTGGTTTATGTTTGTCGTGGTGGGTCCTTGCGCCCAGCACTGTGGCCTGCCTGCAGCTTACCACTTACACCCTAGCCTGACAACTTTTTCTCATTATATCCTCAGCTGCGCTTATTGCCACGGTAAGAGTTATTATCTATTTCTCTAATACAATACCCGTCCATTATTCCATATCAACATAGGGTTATTTTACCTTAACTTCTCAAGGAAGATCATGCCACCAGAACTTACAAGAAAAGGATTTTGCGGAAGTAAAGTAAGAGTTGATGTGTGTACCATTGTCAAGAACATGGGAACATTGTGCTATATCTACTGACATGTTTCGTAACTCGTTGTCTCTGTTTCCCTAGCAGTGAGTAAGCCCTTAGGTGTTTGTGGAAAAAAACATTCACGTACAGTTCACGGCATAAATGTCCTTATTAATAGTTTGTTGGTATCACCATACCATTTACAACATGGGTGTTAGTTGACCGCCGTGGGTTACGTTGCAGTGAAAAATTCATTATACAGTGAATTAATTTTGCCATCCTTTATGGTCTCGTGACTTGACATGAGATGTGTCTCATTGTCTTTTTACCTCTTCACCTTTCCTCTAGTTTCTTTTGCACTTCCCTTCCTGTCTGCCTAAGTGGGTTCTGTCCTTGAGGGATTTTGTCCTACCCCCGTGAACCAGTAGCTCTCTCTTGTTTTTATGGACTACCACCTTTATTACGACTACTACATTCTCTGTTATTGTTATTGTTTTACTAGTACTAGTACTATTTTCTTATTTGTATTTCTACCACTGATGCATTACTATTACTATTACATCAACAATTATAATTCACTCCTCCCATTCTACCGCTCCCTTTCCCCACCCTCTTTCGTACATATTTTCTGATTCCCTTACCTTCTTGCCTCTTTGTGTGGCTTGTTAATGGTCCAAGTCGGACCGAAACGTCGTCATAAGTTTCGGTCTCCTAAGTGTGGGTTGTTTTCGTATTTAATTCTCTTATGTACAAAGGGAACCAGAACTGCGTCGCATAACCTATGTGAGACCAAACAAATGATGCAGAGCTGTAGAATAATATGAACTTCCGTTACTTAACATGATATAAATCAATGCAACCTGTGTGCCTTATTAATGATGCTTGGGAAATGTTGTCTTGCTTTAATTCTGTATGATTCTGCATGATCAGATTTGGTGATACCGAAGGAATGGGCCTAATGACAGTCACGCACTGTTCAGTACATTTATTGTCTTGAATCTGAGACCATATTTCTACAAATTTTCTGACATCATTTAGAAGAAATATCTAAAATAATATATCTTTGATAGCTTGTTTGCGATGCGTTGCTCTTGATGGCTTGTTCCATGATCTTCGTTGATTTAACTTTGTCATTATCTGTATTTTCTCTGCATGATTGCTCATCTTCTGAAGTTTGTTACCGGTGGAAGGATGCATGGACCTGGAATTTTACGGTGCATAATTGTTCTTAGAGTTATAAAGCCTCTGAGGCGTGTAGGTTAATAATTCAGCGGGTGCCACAACCATGTCACCCTTGAGGAATTCGAGAAATCCGATATGGTTACCAATGGACTCGCTGATCAACCATGAATACTAAAACTAATGCAGATCAACTTGGACACTGAGCATTTTAATCAAATTTATTACCAACATGTTTTTTTTTGTTTAGATAAAGGATGCCACCTTTTGTATTTTCCCATTGAAACAGTTTCTGTTAGGATGATTTCATATAACTCGAATATCTAAGACAGATGTCGTATTTACTCTGAAGTAGTCGTTACAGCAATGAGATCCTCGCCTACCCAGCGTCATTTGCATTATGAAGGTCAAGACAAAGAACGTGATCTAGGAAGCATTTTCAGTTTCACAGCACATGCATTTAAATTTCGCCATATTCAGCGAACGTTAACAAAACATTTTACCATGTCTCTATGGATGTCACTCAATTGGATATAGCAATATGATCAACAGTAATTGTTATTTATTTGTAAAAAAAAGGCAGTAAATGCTACACACTCATTTGATTTTTATCATTACACTATTGATCAGTTTTGGTCAGTAACTTCTGCCTATAATAGTTTTGATAATATCTCCACTCACAGCTAAGACTACCCCTTCTAATGAGACAGTAACGTTATGAGAACAAAACAATGGTCAAGCTACAACCTACAGGTTGTCTCCTGGCGCCCTATCATTAATTCTATTCCCTAACGCTAAACTAATGATTAAATTGTCAATGATCTAATTTCTCTATAATGCCATCATCTTCATCGTTTTCATTATCATTATCGCGAGCTTCCTCCTACATCAGCTTCCAGATTGTCCTTTGTCATATGGTTTAAATAGCTATCAGTTCCTCCACATTTTCAAAACACTGAGCACGAAAGCTGAGCAGCTGCGTATCCACATCTGAGAAATAAGCTGAGCTGATCACTGATGCAGCTGCAGTGAATCAATTTCAGTGCATCTGATTGTGCAACCCGATTATCTTGAGGTAGAGGGATACTGCCGAGAGACTTGGCAGGCTCGTACTTCTCAAACCCAAACCTTACTGCAGCCTTTTAATTGGTTTGTCTAAAAATGAGCCCTCTTTGTATTTTCATTGAATAGCTCGGTAATCAGAGGTAAAGCTCTAAATCCTGGCAAAAATATGCTCTTTTTGTTCCTGTTCCCGAGAGCCAAACTTAGAAGCCTTTCATTTACAAAGACATAAGTATCATAACTGATTGTTTTGAAGCTCTTCCATCCGAGAGTGCACATATGGAAATTATTTTCAAATTCCCGGTAAAAGTATCAGTTTATTTTAAGATGCACTACTGTATAGTGTTTCTATGTTTTTAAATGAGGTGTAAAATGTAGTTGTGGTAGGCCACTGAGTGCGTAACAGTGAACGGGTCATCATCTGATTATGATCGTGTCAGGAAACACTTGTGTTGTCTCCCAACTATTGAACCACCGCCATCATCCGAAATTTGCCAACACCACAACTTGGTCAGGAATGAGTTTATAAGATTCCTCTTGTATGGTGCTCGGGATAATTAACCCATAAATTCAATCACGATCTACCAGTGTATCACAGAGGAATTTTAGCACATCGCCGGATGACAAATTAATGATACACATTAAAAGGATTGGAAAGACGAAATGTAGTTGTTGGATAGCCTTATATCAAGGCTGAAGGACTGAAAGCTTTAAAATTACCTTTCCGCGTCTTACAGTGTCTCCAGCATAAAATTCACCTCTGTATCCCATTGAAAAAGCCTGTTGGCAAGCGAAACATCTCGTCAATGTAGATATTCGATATAATAGATCTTCGATATGTTGAAACAGTTACAGAATATTATTTAAGACTTCAACAGACGGATCCAAGATTTAGCAACACTTGAAGAAATACCCTAAGTCACCATCGACATCTTTCTAAACAAATAATAATCATCAATATAAAATACAAAACTTGAAGCACATTATCTTCTGCTTTATTTATTAAAAGATAGAAAATATAAGCAATTACTTTTAACCACAAATTTCCAGATTAAAATCAAAGCACATTGTCCTGCTGCAGTGATAAGTAGCGAATTTAAATCGGTAACCATCTTGCATTTTCACACATGGACTTACCTATTCAAGATCTAAGCATAAAAAATGGTCACTTTGACTTGCAAAACTTGTAATGTGAAACATAGTTAAAACCCTCAACGTTTATACTGATATACGTGTCAGTGAACTTGTAGGTGATCACTGAATGCTTTGGCAGCCATCTTGGATTTTAACCATTTCTCCAGAGTAACAGAGTGGTATCCACTGAATTATCAATCTAGACAACCAAAATTTTCAAATTCTGTAAGGTTAAAGGACACAAGTGCAACTAATGCGACACTTTTATTGTGGCAAACGTTTCGCTCTCCAGGAGCTTTGTGTAGAATTATGTACGGTATATTAAGTAAAAGGACACAAGTGCAACTAATGCGACAAAGCTCCTGGAGAGTGAAACGTTGCCACAATAAAATGTCGCATTAGTTGCACTTGTGTCCTTTTACCTAACATACCGCACATAATTCTACCAACATTATTACGATTCAAATTCTGATGAGGATAATTATGCACCACATAATTCCAGGGTCAGACAAAAATTTTGTTTGAAAAAGAGTCTATAATCAGGTTATCTAAGTCAACATCAGCTGGTTCATGAGTCTACAGACCGAAAAATCTGTAACCTTAACTGCATTACCAGTTAACGTATAAATCTGACAGATGAGCAACGATTGGAAGCTTTTAATGGGCACATTTCGCTCACCAGGAGCTTTCACAATCCAATATTTGGGCTGAAAAGCTTCTAGAGAGCAGAATGTATCTTAATAAAAGTTTTCGAAGGCTACACATGTTTCATTCATTTGTCGGTAATTTTTTTTTTTTTACCTCGAGTGATACATTTCAAGGTATTGTTAAAACGTAAATTATTTATGATTGCTTCTTCCACGCTTTTCTGTGATTTCAATATTATTTATCAGTTTCCTCGTTAGATCAGTTACTAACCCTTAAAAAGCAGTCCTGGGCTACCTTTTAAAAACTCGTTGGAGTCTAGATTATGAGTTTCGGCATTTCGGTAAATTTTGCCTTAATTAAAATCCCCAGTTTTATTTTGTTTTATAATTTTTTTTGAAAGTAATTTGCCGTGGGTTTTTTCTAAGTTTAAGGGCCGGTACATCAGCCCAGTTCAGTTTTCCACTTCCTTCAAGAAAGTGGTTACAAATAAATTTTGCCTTTATGGTTAGGGCTGTCATCTACATATTCCAAGGCTGTCTCTCTCTCTCTCTCTCTCTCTCTCTCTCTCTCTCTCTCTCTCTCTCTCTCTCTCTCTCTCTCCTCTCTCTCTCTCTCTCTCTCTCTCTCTCTCCCACTCTCTCTCCCTTTCCTTTTGGCTTACATCATTTAGTTTTGTTGTTCTTCCTGTATGACTTCTACTGTTCCTTGCGTATAACTTTGATTGTTATTCGTTATATGTAACTTTGACTTTTGTTTTTAGTCTTATATAACTATAAGCTGAGTTGTTCCCAGTGTGTATCTTCAAGCTTTGTTGTTCCTTATGCAAGTCTGAGGTTTGTAGGGCTGAGTTTTATTGTTTGTTCTTTGTGTAAGACTGTTTGTGTTATCTGTGTATGACTGAGTTTTGTTTTTCCTTGTGTTTAAATCTGATTTTTTTTCCCTTGTGCAATACTGAATTTTGTTGTTCCAAGCGTGTAATTTTGAGCTTTGTTGTTCCTTGTGTAAGACCGAGTTTTGTCCTTCATTGTGTAAGTCTTTATTTCCTTCTATATAACCTTAAAGTCAGTTATGACAACTACAACAGAAACAGCATAGTTTAAAGCACGTTCCAGTTTTACATTTTGTATATGTTTAAGAGGGTTCCAGTTGGGGGTCGAAATATACAGACCAAATTTATCTCCTGTGTTTCTGTCTCCATGTGAGTTATTAGCATCGTCAAGTATTTATTACAGTTTCAATTGAAGTACAACAACATAGTAATGATAATAATCATATTGCTAAAAGTAGTAAGATTCATCACGAAGGATGGCAAAAACTACAAACATAGACGGCAAAAGATAAGTTTTATGGAGACATGTTTTTATTACAACCAAAAAAAAAAAACGCTTCCTTTAGTAGAGTTATTCTCTAATCAGAGGTACTATAAACCCCGTGACGTAACTTCCCGTCTATTTGTCTGTTCGGGTTTGTCTGCCTGTCTGTTTCTGTCTATTTCTCTAATAGACTTACTGGCTATCTGTCTGTCTGTCCTTCTCATCTGTTATCTGTCTGTCTGTTTGTTCTCCTCACTGGTTGTTTGTCTGTCTGTCCTCACCGGTTATCTGTCTGTATGTTTGTCCTCCTCACCGGTAATCTGTCAGTCTGTCCTCACTCTCTTTCCTCCGAACGTAACCTGCATCAGCCTGACCTGGGGCTCACTGATGAAAACATTCGATCCATTACCTCAAGATCCTAGGTGTGACTCCCAAGTATGGATAATTTTCCTTACACACATGTTGCCTGAACCTACCAAGCAGTTACCATACATCTTGGTGTCAGCAGACTGTTACGACTCATATCTAAATGAAAAAAATAATATTGCTGTGTAAATGTGTACGAAAGTCCAGTCCTGCCGGTAGTCATTAGACAAAATGCGAATATGTAAGAAAAATCCAGTCCAGATGAAAGTGTTCAAGTGTTGGTATTACTAATGAATAAAATATCTTGTAATAGATGGCACGACTACACATAGGGGTGAGTTTAATTACATTCCTGCAGCTCTGCACTTCGAGCAGCGACAAGATACTTGGGTGTTAGCATCCTTGAGGAATGTGTGAGAAATTCCAGCCCAGCTGGAAGTCATATTCTTTGTAAATAAAATCCAAAACCTGTTGGAAGTATTCAAATGTGGCGCAGAAGATTTATGCACATTGCGATGCGCTTAATAACGATAATTTTAAAGAAAAAGTGAAACTCGACTGTTCTCTCATTTCATTCACTTCGGTTAAGCATTCCTCATTCTATCATCGTTCTACCTGCCTTCTTCCATTCCTTCCTCCATGCCTCCTTCCTTATTTTCCTCCATGCCTCCTTCCTTATTTTCCTCCGTGCCCCCTTCCTTATTTTCCTCCATGCCTCCTTCCTTATTTTCCTCCATGCTTCCTTCCTTATTTTCCTCCATGCTTCCTTCCTTATTTTCCTCCATGCCCCTTCCTTATTTTCCTCCATGCCTCCTTTCTTACTCCCTCCAAGTTTCCTTCTTTGCATTTCCCCATGTCTACTTCATTACCTTCTTTATCCTTCCATTACATCCTTTACCTCTCTCCCTTTTCTTATCTCCCTCTTATTTGCTTACATCTACAGGAAAAACCATAAACCTATATTATTACGTAACTCTTACACCACCTCTCCCCCCACACTCATATTTCTCCATCTCCCCCTCCCCTTCTGCAATGCGCAGTTTTACCTACAGTTCATTCAGACTCACTGCCCCCTCCTCCCTCTCAACTCTCACCTCCAACTCCACCTCCCTCGTCGTATCTGTTCCCTCCATCACACCTCCCCCACCTCTTTTCATCTCACACACCTCACACAATCCCAGCCATAATTGTTTAATTTAAGGCGTGTACACAAGTTTCGCAGCAGACATAAGCAAAATTTCAGTGATACTTTTAAAGAAGCAATATTACTCATGGTCTCTAAAGCATTATGAGAGGTGAGAAAAGGCTGATTTCTTCCTTTTCTCAACGTTTATGATGAAAAGTACGTAATTCAACAAGTGTTTTAAGAACTAATTAATCAAGGTGATAATAGATATATAAATGTGACGTCTATTGATAATCAACCTTTGATCTAACTGCAGTTCTTCTCACAGCTGCATGTCTCTTCCTTCCACACAGCTGAGTGTTTTGAGCAACAGAGGAAGTGTCTCTTCACAGCCTGCAGCGGCATGGCGTCTGTGCCGCAGACGCTACACATAACCAAAACGCAGAGACAACAGCAGCGGCGGGGAGCCGGCCTCAACACAGCTCACGAGTGCTACTTTGATAACGCAGGTGAGGCGATGTGCAGGGATACATAATGGAAGAGTGAGGCTTCGGCAAAAAGTTAGGTGAGGACGTGAAAAGTATCATTATAGAAACAGGAGAGAGAATGTTAAATATATTAGAGATGGAATAGATGAGGTTGCCAGATGTATTAAAGATAGAATAGGTAAGGATGAGTATTGGTAATCAAATGGATTAAGATGTGAGAAAAGCTGAAGGAATATGTGATGATAAATGGAATTATAGGAGCGTACAGATGAAGATTAGTGAAAGAAAGAACAAGTTAGCTACACGCACTTGACGACTTTTGTTCTTATGAAATGTAAGAGATAGGTCAGGATAGATACTGGTGAGGTGGGTGGCTGTGTGAACACTGATAGTGTTTGAGTGAAGAAAGGAAGGATTATCCAATGGTTTCTGTCTCCCTAAATGCCTTCCTAACTCTCCCTTCCTTCCTCCCCAAATCTCTCTCTACCTCTCTAACCATCCCTCCATGTCTTCGTAATTCTCCCTCTCTGCCTTCCTAACTCTCCTTCCTGGTTTCATTAACTCTTCCTACTTACCTCCATAACTTTCCTGCCTCCTTACCTATGTCTCTCTCTGCCACCACAATTCTTCATTGTGTTCCTCAGAATTGGAACAACCAATGCGGTACAGCAGTAAGCTGATGAACAGCATCTGGGGTCAGTACAACAAGAACTCCGTCCACAACTTCAAGTCTCTTCAGTGCGGAGGTGTAGCGGCCCCCGACACCCAGGAGGTCCAGCTGCAGCAGGCGCCTCCCACCACCAGGTGAGTGCTCAATCAACCTTTCCAGATATCTGTAAGTCATGCTTAATTTCCTCTTTTGTAGTCTCATTCATCATTTATCCCTTTCTCTTCTGTTTATTACAACTTCTACTACGTATTCTAAACTTATAACTGTAGTGATTGGCTAATACTCTATTTTTCTTATGAACTGCTTTAGACAAGCACAAGATCGCGACCCCTGCTCGGGTTTATGTGCTTTCCTCAGTATGATAGGTCTAGAAATTTACTATTTCGTCTCCGTTTAATTATGTATATTTCTACTGGTATGTGAGATTGTATGTATAAAGGTTTGCCTGAAAGACAACCTCGGTTACCGTTACATTCATGGGGAAAGCTAAACCGTAAGGGGTCATACAGCGCGCCCTGGAGAATGGGAGGCAGCCTGATCCAATCTAAGGAAAGGGAGAATAGGTCAATTTCCTTGGATCAAGAGCCCATTACCAACATCGAAGTACCTCCCCAGATGGGGAAAGACATTTCGAGTTGATACCAATTTTAAGCCTGCTGAGAAGAGTCTTGAGATTATCGCCAATCAACGTTTAATGTTTTTCTCCTATTTTTTTTTTCCTTGGTCAGGGAGGTGTTACAGCAGCGACTGGAAGAACTGGGTAAAGCGGTGGCCACCAATTATATGGACAACCTGCATCAGTACTAGCAGTGCCAAGCCGCCATTCTGCCACCACAACCAACACCACTACTAGTGCTATTACCACCAATATGATAACACCACAGGCCTGTCCCATCCCTTCACCTCCCCACTCGCTTTGTTGCTCCCTGCAACTTTAATAGATTAATTACTGACTAGCCATCTACATCAACCTATTAGTTTAACGTCATTTGCTGCAACTGGATATTTTATCCAATGTGCGTGCCAACTCTAGCATCCCAGAACTACATCATCATATACTGAAGTACGAAAAAGCACAAAAAATTCAATTCCTCGCTAAGATGCGGCTCACTGGTATGCGCACCGTTACCTTAATGATAAAATAATTCATGTAATTACAGCACCAGAACTAAAGTTGTAGGGAACCAACAAAGGCAGGTCATGTACATACGAGCAGCTAACTTATATTGGTTCAGACCTCACACTCTGTACTATGATGCCCAGCTTTCAAAAAAGGAAGACCACATACAACAAATACTATTACACAGGCGACCAGTACTGTCAATTAGTAACTCTTTTGTAGCAAAAAAAAAAAAAATCTCTGCACAAAAATGCACCCATCACATTACTTCTTAATTCTGTTAGTTTCAAGAGTAATGGAATTTGTTGATGATAATGAGAGATTTGGAATGGGCGGAGGCGAACTGTTACAGAGTTGTCGTTCATATTATGGGTATTCTGCTCGAGGTGGTCAAACTGCCTGCAGTGTGGCCACAACTAGGGATGTACAGGAGGAACCTAGGACCAAAACTTATCGTGACACTCATATTACACTAAGAGTCAACCTAACATCAGTGTAATCAAACCAAACCAGTGCTTGTCTAGGGTAGAAGCAGTAGGATCTTCAAGGGAATTTTAGTGTTGCATTCTACAGGAGGTAGTAGGTAAACATTGTTTGCTGAGACTCTCGTACAGTGGTGTCCTGATAATGTCTTGTTCCCAGCGCTCTCCTCGCGGCAACGGCTCAGCTAACCAGCTGATGTAGAGATCATAAAAATAAAAATGTAAACATTAAGAATAGGAAATAATATAGAAACAAAAAGTTGGATATCATATGGTTTGCCGAAAATTCACCTTTGTTAGCCAAACAATAATTATATATATATATATATATATATATATATATATATATATATATATTAATATATTATATATATATATATATGAAAATTTGAAAAAAAATTAATGTGTGAAATATAACACAACTGCAATACTTTTGAATTTTCATGTGCTTTCGCACACATTGTCAAGCCCGTCAATATATAACAAGTGAGCCTTTGTTATTGAGTTCTGAGTGCACATTGTGAGTGTAGTTCAATTATGCTATAAGTGCATTTTGCCTTCATAATAAACCTTGTTTAATCCACTCTTATTTTTATTTTCATTAATGTATATAAACCCAAAACGTTGCATTATATAAACCGCAGCATTAATCTACCCATGAAAAGTTTTGGTTAAATTAAGGCTGAATTAATATACTTCAGAGGAGGTCGGGAAGGGGAAAACAGGTAAGTTAGGTTTCTACGACTCCACACACCTGCCTGACGGACTGGAGTCATTGTGTGCTTGGAGTCAGAGTATAGATAAATGACACAGGTGTGCAACATTTGGGTATCTTTCCTCTGGAAACTTTTCGCTAGCCAGTAGCTTCTTCAGTCCAGTGCAGAGAAACGTGGAATAAAAGGAGGAGTTTGAGGTAACCTTTCAGCCTGAAGTCGATATGTTCAGTCCATCAGTCTTGATAAAAATGCAGCATATTCGTGGAGATAAAGCTTATATACTGATGACATGACGTGGAGCAGTGGTAGGCGGTGTCACCAGTGGACTACCTCAAACTCCTCTATTCTTCCATCTTTCTCTGCACTGGAATGAAGAATCCACCGCCTGGCGAAACGTTTCCAGAAAAAGATAACCAAATATTGCACAAGTGTCTTATTTATCAACTTGTCGGTTTTAGAAAAAGATTATTCACACACAGTAAGTACTTAGAGCCACTGAAGTCTCTACCTCCACAGTGAACGACATTTTTCAATTATATCAGAACATCTTATGAGGATTTCTCTATTTTATACCAGCAAGTTTAATTATTAATGCTTTTAATACTTTAGTTTATCATTTAGAATTACTTACACACACACACAGACACAGACACACAGACAGACAGACAACAGACACACACACACACACACACACACACACACACACACACACACACACAACACACACACACACACACACACACACACACAAACACACAGTCCTAGGACCTGTGCTGTTTTTGGTATATGTGAGAGACATAACGAAAGGGATAGACTCAGAAATGTCATTGTTCGCAGATGATGTGAAGTTAATGAGGAGAATCAAATCGATCGAGGATCAGGCAGGACTACAAAGAGACCTGGACAGGCTACAAGCCTGGTCCAGCAACTGGCTCCTTGAATTTAACCCTGCCAAATGCAAAGTCATGAAGATCGGGGAAGGGCAAAGAAGATCGCAGACACAGTACAGTCTAAGTGGCGAAAGACTGCAAACCTCACTCAAGGAAAAAGATCTTGGGGTGAGTATAACACCGAGCACATCTCCTGAGGCGCACAACAAACAGATAACTGCTGCAGCGTACGGGCGTCTGGCAAACCTCAGGATAGCGTTTCGATACCTCAGGAAGGAATCGTTCAAGACTCTGTACACCATTGACGTCAGGCCCATACTGGAGTATGCAGCACCAGTTTGGAATCCACACCTGGTCAAGCACGTCAAGAAATTAGAGAAAGTGCAAAGGTTTGCAACAAGACTAGACCCAGAGCTAAGGGGATTGTCCTACGAAGAAAGGTTAAGGGAAATCGGCTTGACGACGCTGAGGGACAGGAGGGTCAGAGGAGACATGGTAACGACATACAAAATACTGCGCGGAATAGACAAGGTGGACAAAGACAGGACGTTCCAGAGATGGGACACAGAAACAAGGGGTCACAATTGGAAGTTGAAAACTCAGATGAGTCAAAGGGATGCTAGGAAGTATTTTTTCAGTCATAGAGTTGTCAGGCCGTGGAATAGCCTAGAAAGTGAGGTGGTGGAGGCGGGAACCATACATAGTTTTAGACAGAGGTTTGATAAAGCTCATGGAGCAGGGAGAGAAAGGACCCAGCAGCAACCAGTGAAGAGGCGGGGCAAGGAGCTATGAATCGACCCATGCAACCACAAATAGGTGAGTACAAATAGATGAGTACACACACACAGGGATCTGTAAAGAGGCAGAAGCAGGAGCTAAGACTCGA